TGCATACTTTATACACATATTTATTGTGTATTTTTCTTTTTCTCTGACATGTTTGAAAATAGGGACTCTAATATTTTGCCTAATCCTGAAGAAACCATACGAAGGTTGTTTTTTATATTTCTGCCCTTGGCAACAGTAAGTGGTGACAGTGGCGTCAGAGCAACGCAGGAAGGTCAATTCCGAATGGTGCAAGACTGTTTATTTGCCAGAAATTATCGGAGAAATTCGAAAAAAAAAAAAAAAAAAAAAAAAAAAAAGCGGAAGAGGCGAATCATTTTTCATCATGACAATGCGAGCTCTCACACATCGGCTCAAACAAAAGAATTTTTGACTGGCCCAAACATCAAATTGATGGGTCATCCGCGGTTCAGCCCTGATTTGGCACCCAATGACGTTTTTTATTCCTGCACATCCCCCCCTAAAAAAACGTGGTCAGCGATTTGCGACACCCGAAGAAGCGGTTGATGCATTCAAAACGCATGTTTGGAATTACTGCTATCGGAGTGGAAGAAGTGCTTCGAAAATTTTTTCAAACGCTTTCATCAAATTTTTAAGATGTATTAATCTTCATACAGAATATTTTGAAGAACAGTAAAATCGATTTCGATCATGAACATTTGTTTTCTAATTATTAGGCCAGAAATATAAATAGGAACTCTCGTAAAGCAGTGATAAACCTAAATTTTAGAGCACGCCAAAACAATACAAATTGCGATTCCTATCGCAGCACGCTGTGGAAAAGGCAGTACTGAATGATTTTGGCTGTTTATGCCATTACAACCTGTTTTCATTTAGTGCGCGTTCTGTAGGTTATGAATTTTTTATTTATATCATTTTTAAATAGATAAATAAATACTGGCAGCCACGGATATGTGGACCCAAATACAATATCATAATTCTCCATGTTACGTAATACGGCTGCACAAGATTCTGTATGTAATAAAATATTCTCTTTTAAACTGGGAGCGAATAACTGCATCTTGTTCTTAAAAAGATATTTATTGCAGAATGGTAGAAAAATTATCATAATAAACCATTAAGGTATAACAAAACTGTTAAAGTAAAATACGAAAGGTAAAGGGAAACGTGGAGTCAGCAGCAATGATGGCAGACAAAGTCGTAGTACTTGAAAATTGATTTTATCCGTAATAACCCGTAATTTAATTGTTCGTAATGCGAAGTATATAAAGTTAGTTAAATTATCCGATGAAAGTAAGTTGATAAGTTGTAAAAATGAATCAGATGTACGGATATTAATCTTCTGTTTCAATTAACTCGTATCGAAATAAAAGAGTACGGCAAACATAAAATAAAATGAAATTTGAAAGCATTCACATTTTATATTAGGCCCAAAAGAGCTTTTTTTTTTTTATTTTCCATTTACAGACACATACACGTTTCGAGAGAATTTGGACTAACGCCACTTTCGGCTAAAAATATTTAAAAACAGCATTATCTTTAGAACTTTCAATAGGTCTCGCTCACTGGAGATAAAAATATTTTATTCCCTACAGTGTTGCCACCGCTCGCTTTGCAATTATTGATTTTCTTAAGCAAAAATTCGTTAAAGTTTTAAAAAGTATAAAATAGACAGTAAAAAAAAGGTCCAAATTCTGGCTTCCAGGTGCCCATATTCGGATAGAGGACTACGTTATTCAAATTTGATGTCGTTAGGTACCGTTGTTTTTTTTCATAATGCGAGAAACATACTTAAATTCATGCAGATTCTTCGTTATTTAGTTTTTTTTTAAATATAATATATGGCTATAATATTTGGTGGCAACAATTTGAAAAGTGATACATCGTATTCAAGTTATTCAACGCAAAAGGCCGTTTCGAGACTAATAGCCCTTGTGGGCTAACATCCCTTGGGGCTAAAAAAAAGCATTACTCGTTTTTGCTTTGAAGTATGTTCTTTTTGTTTTTAATTCTGATTTGATTGACGTAACCAAATGAACTCATTCTCTAAACAAATACAGGTAAACTAGTTACATATTTCTTCTGTCATTTAAAATAAGGATTATTCCTCTTTTATGTGTCTTTTAACTGCTGTCGCATTAAAAACCGGATTTTGTGTTAACCGTGGATACTGGTTCCGATATTACCTCGAAAACCGGGGCTTAACAACTGCCATTGCTTATCAACCCCAAATAAGGACTGAATTAACCTCAAAATTCTTCACATATCTTCACAAAAGAAATATTTTTCTTATGTCTTTGAAACAAAATCGTTATCTCCGAGTCAGAGCTTTTGCCTCCTTTTTCCTATTTTTGTGTTGAATCTTTTCGAAAAGCTGAAAAATTCTCTTTTTCGGATAGCATCTTGCAATTTCTTCTTTTATTGCAACGCCTGAGGTAATAAATTTCATTTCGTTTTGTTGGGAAGGGGGGTGACGAAAAAGAAAACTGAGGCACATCCTATATCTGAAGTCAGAGATGACAACTTATTAACTCCAGTTTCAACTTCAATCAGTCTGAGTTAGCGTCTATTCTTGGTTGGTTGGTTCTTCTCGCGTATGGGTGGTTAATATTTCGGTTGAATGGCTGGTGTTCTGTAGGTATTCTGGGATTTCTGTTTTTCTTCTTCGTCGCAAGTTATAGAAGAAAAAAACAAATAAAAGTTGAAGAAAAGTGGATGATATTTGGTGTTGATATTTTTAACTGAAATTGATCTTGTTGAATGTTTGGGTTTCTAGATGATGTTACGCATCCTATGTTGTTTTAAAGGTGACTGACACGTTTGGTTTTTTTAAAAATAAGCATTTAATTTTTTAGAAGCATTCTTATTTTGAAGATTACTTCTAAAAAATAAACAAAGTTTCTTCTGAACGGAAATTACGAGTGCAAGAAAGTCTTGCTTTTTTTGTCAGGTGAGGGACCACAGCATTGCTTAAAACAGAGAATCGTAGCATTGCGATATCCGTCTTTTTAATATGTTTCTTCTAATTTCGTAGAATAGATGAATGAGAATAAAAAATGAGAGCGAAAATTATCTTTTTTTCCGAGTTTTAAATTAATATCTCTGATTTTAGCTACTTTTTTATGGAAAAAAGTGGCCGTCGATCTTTTCCAGGCCCTAGAAAAGAACTGTAGAAAGTTTGAGGAAAATAGCTATAGTAGTGGTTTATTAGCGAACAACACACACAGACTTACTTCTTTATATATATAAATTATGTAAGCGAAGACACGTGATCTGAACTAGAAGAATACCAAAACTGAACTTTTAGTAAACTTCAAATGGTTGTCACAACTGTAATACTGAGTCGGTAATGAAAATGATTTATTTTTGCCAAGTATATTATTACTGCGTTATAAAATTGTAATTCAGTTTATATAAAATGTTGGTCTAAAACATTGCTTTTGGGCTCATATTCTGGGCATTTGTAACATTATTTGAAACAGCTGTAGTGTAATCCGAAAAGTGGAAGTTGACATTAAGCATCATAGTTCTGCCGACTATGACAGATACTGACCATAATTTGAAAAACTGCAATGCAGTATATTCGCGGATTAACAATAGGACATAAGTATACTAACAAGCGTTGCCGTTCAATCGTATCAATATTATCTAATCAACAGAAGTACACTTATCGATATGTAAAACGACTATATTACTCTCATATTCATCTATTTATTTCAATCTGTCTACCAGCTTAGATGACAGAGGGAATAAATGCTACGGCCTCTAGCTCTTACAAACAGGTTGTTATGTTTTCCGAGGCAGCACCTGGGTGTTAACATCTATAGAAATGTGTTGCATTTAACCTATCTAAACTGTTTTCGTTGTGCTCATTTGCATAACCTTACTAGCGGAAGTACCCGATGCCAGTTAAGTTAGATTGAGAGTAATGTATCTAACAAGAGAGAGAACGATACCGCTGTAATCCATCTCTAATAACGATGCGAAAATTATGATTCATACTCATACATTTTTCAGGCTGATGCGATATGAAACCACCATAAAAAATTTCGATAGAAAAATAAACTAATTATCTTTCATTATAACAGCAACAATGGCACGCAGTTTTTAATGATTTTCGTCTTTCTAATCAAACGGTCGTGTAAAAGCTCAAGTTCCATCCAATATTTCACCTATATTCAATTTTAGTCGATTAAATGTGGCCAAAAGTGATCATAATTGATCCGAAATCAATAACGCGAATAAACGCAAACGGGCATTCGTCTTTATATATATATAGATTTTGTAAAACTTACAAATTTTTGATTAACAAACTCTTGCAACAAAATTTAAAAATTTATTCCTAACAAAATTTGGAGGAGAGCAGTAGCAACACTTTTCGTAATAAAGGATTTTTATCTCCAACGCGCGAGACTGTTGCCACTCGGAAAAATGAGTGCGAAAATTAGTGTTTTCAGAGTTTTTAATTAATATCTCGGCTGATTAAAGTCGTACGATGATGGGAACAGTCGAAATGGCTTCTCACGAATTTTTGGAATCGGGAATAATGCATTTAATGTTTAGCGATGCTATTTTTGTTTCATCGGAAAACTTCGAAATTTTTCATTAACAAACTCTAGGATTTGAAAGCGAGCAGTGGCAACAACTTTTTGAAATAAAACAGATTTTCATCTCCAGCGTGCGAGACTGTTGCCACTCGGAAAAATGAGGGCAAAAATGATAGTTTTCCAAGTTTTTATTTAATATCTCTGATTTTAGCTTTTTTTTTTTTTTTTTTTTTTTTTGAAAAACGTGGACGTCGATCTTTTCTAGGCCCTGGAAAAGAACTGTAGAAAGTTTGGTGAAAATAGATATAGTAGTGGGTTATTAACGAACAACACACACAGACTTACTTCTTTATATATATAGATTATGTAAGCGAAGACACGTGATCTGAACTAGAAGAAAAGAGAACTGAACTTTTAGTAAACTTCAAATGGTTGTCACAACTGTAATACTGAGTCGATAATGAAAATTATTTACTCTGTCAAAAATTGTAATTCAGTTTATATAAACTGTTGTATTCTTTATCTAATTTGCAGCCGAAGATGGTCGCTGGACATCTTGGTCATCCTGGTCAACTTGCAGTCCTGATTGCAAACACCACAGACGCAGAACTTGCACTAATCCTCCACCAAGTAATGGAGGTCGATATTGTGTGGGAAAAGATCTGGCCACCAGTAATTGTACCGGTGGGATGTGTAGAGGTAAGAAACCATCAACTACTTCCGTTTTTTGAATAAATAGTAGGAAGTTATTTATATAAAAATAATGAAGTATTTATTAGGCACAATAATGTAAGCAATCGCACGCAGTAAATAATTTAATAATTCAAAATCATTTCATATTTCTGTTTGTTTTATATCTGATTTACTACATCGCTCTTAATTTTATGTCACAATAATAAAATTTTCATATTGTTTTGATAGATAAGCATTGCATTGTTTTTACTGAAATGTTAAATCCCTGTTGTAAATCTGCTACTGAGCAGCAGTAACTTCCCACATTTTTGTATTTAAATAAGGAAAAGATGAAAGTTTCTTAATTTCTTGTTGCTGTTTATTATAGTAAATAATTTAAAATAAATAGAACTCAGTGCACCAATAGTGGTAACGCCATTTTAACATTAAAAGAATTAACTATTTTACTACGCAAGTAATTTTTTCGTTGCCGTGAAACGTATGACTAATATACCATCAACTGTTAAAGAAAATGGAAGAAAAGGAAACAGACCTATCAGATGCGATTTAAAAATAAGAATATGAAATATAATGAGGACAGTAGTATAATTTGAGTAGGAATAAAAGTCGAAGGTTAAAACTAATACATATGTCATGAATCTGAACAATTTTCAAAGGAAAATTAAACAAATAAATTTTTATGATATTTAGCGGATGAAAGATTCACAGTAAAATTTTCCTCCTTGAAGATCAGGCATCCGTTTAGACCTCCTCGAAATGTTTTCATTGTAGAATTCACATTCCTGTTAAAACTTATTTCACTTTGAGGTTTTATATTTTCCAGAATGGCATTTTACTATAAATCCTGTTTAGTATGAAGTTTACATTTAAGGAGTTAATATTTGTGAAGATTATTTATTTTATGAATAATTTATACTGATTTATAATCATATATAATTTTTTTGCGATGCTGGCGCTATCTGTAGTGGATAAATCGTAGCTGAGGTCACATCATCTGTTACTGATAGCTGGAGGTATAGAGGCATCTTAGCAGTCTCTGCGAGTTGTGCTCTTTCATTCTACCTTAAAAGGGATATTTCTGTACTAAAGGCAAAATTTTTATTGCAAATACACAGAGGTTAACTTTTTAATCGCTCCAGAAAAAAATGCTGTTTGCGTCAAGGTTAGTAAAAGGTACTTAGATGCTGGTGAATGCTGTATTACGTTTGATCGTTTAACATTTTACAGAAAAAATATTCCTGAAATGTATATGAGTTATGATATGTTGATATTAATTTAACATGTACGATTGCAAAATTATACCTTCGAAGTGTTTCCGGTAATTATTCGTCTATAAACTAAGAATAAATTCAATACAAAAAGAATAACAAACTATATTAAAATGAATCTATTTGTAATCTGTCGGAAATTTTTCTGTAGTATAGTGTTTTTTCCTTTTATCTTTAAAATTATATTTTAGGGATATAATTTTGCTCCTAATAAAATGAAAATTATAACGCTTCTGATTTTGCACCATAGAATTTTCTTCTCGAAATTGAACTTCAAACTTGCTTATATATAACTTTAGATTTGATATATAATGAAGTTTAAATTGATTTCCTGGTGCGCTATGTATTTGAAATTGCAATGCTTTAAAAAACTCTTATCATTGCTCTTATCATAATTAACTCTTATCTTTGCTCTTATCTTAACTCTTGTCATAATTTTTCTGAATCTTACACCATGCACTTTTCTTATTACTTCTGTGTAATGATGTGCTACGGGGTTGCACTATGAATTAATTTTTTTTTTTTTTTTTAAAAAAGGGGGAAAGGTCGATGTTTTGCAGTTGGCTGTATGTACAGTTTAAAGACAGTACTGATTTTGCCTATAACCACGCGTAATTAAGATGCCCCAAAAAACAGTGATTCGAGATCCATCAATTGTCAAAATATTTGTGAATAATGAGGTCTACATATAACACGCTGATCCATCTGTAATCTAACAACTAAATAATAATAATAATAACAATAATAAAGAGAGAGAGATTACTCTGAAAGTAATATATGATGTCTGAAATATATTATGGAAATGTATATTAAAACTTAAACTGAATAATATTATGTCAAGTAAACGTATCATAAGTTATATTAATTAAATATGTTATTAAAATGTAAAATGAAGTTATTAAGACGCATACTTTTTGCCATATGAACTGTCCAGTTTTTTAAAGCAGCTACAGTTATTTATATCTGAGAGAAAATTCAAAAATCCTACACTGCGTCAAAGAACAATAATTTGAGAAACGGCCGTTTGTCAGGCCGTGGCTGATAAATGTCTTGGAAGCGTGACGTAACGGTCCAAAAAAATTTGGAAAAACTCCATTATACCACCCGTAAACGTTAAAAACGTATCTTAACTTAAGCGAGCCAAAAAACAAATTCTTCTGAGGAGGCTATATGCTAATTTAAAAGGACTACAGTTGTTCATATATAAAGCCGAAGCATTAGAATAATCTCCAACGTGCTCAACTTTGCTTGGTTTAGAAAGAAAAAAGTGCGATCTGGAAAAGTGAAATTACGATTGTTTAAAATTCTGATAACTGGAATACAGTTGTTCATACGTAACGCCGAAGCATTAGAATAATCTCCAACAGGCTTAACTTTGGTAGGTTTAGAAAGAAAAAAGTGCAATCTGGAAAATTCAAATTACGAACGTCTAGAATTCGGATAAGTGGAATACAGTTGTTCATACATAAAACCGAAGCATTAGAATAATGTCAACGTGCTCAACTTTGCTAGGTTTAGAAAGAAAAAAATTGTGGTCTGGAAAATTCAAATTACGGATATCTAGAATTCGATAACTGGAATACAGTTGTTCATACAGAAGCATTATAATAGTCTCCAACGGGTTTAACTTTGCTAGGTTTAGTAAGAAAAAACTGGAAAATTCAAATTACGAATGTCTAGAATTCGGATAACTAGAGTTCTAATGTACATGCATAAAACGAAAGAAAATGCCGAATCGTTAGAATAACCTTCAAAGCATATGAAACGTCGAAATAATCTCCAGCAAGCTTAATTTGACTTGCCGCAGGGAGAAAAAACAAGCGATCCGAATAACTGAAACTCCGAGTGTCTAGAATTCGGATGAGTGGAGTTCTGTTGTTCATCTTTAAAGCGGCGAAACTATCAAAACACCAGAATAATCTCCAAAGTTGAAATTTTTGCTGAGAATTCCGTTTTCCAGTTTACCAATATCGATTAACGAATGCAGTCTATTGATTTCTCCTTTGAAATATGACCCTGTCGAAAACTTTCGCAGTCGCCATATACACTCCTTCCTCTGCTCAGCCCGATAAACAATGTATCCGTCCTTATCTGCATTGTTGAAATTATTCTTCATTGCAAATTCCTCTCTCTATCTTTTTTTTTAACCCGATATTTTTCGCTGCTATAGAAAAGGCTTTAAAAAAAATCAGTAAAAGTGCTACTGTCGCAATTTTTTTTTCGGTAAGTATCACTATGTTTTAATTAAGCACAGATATGTATAGTTCGGTTATTTGCATTTAAATAACTCTGAAGAAGGAATATTTGGGTCTTCTTTTTAATTTAACGGTTATATATGATAACGAGGAAAAAGGAAAAAATATCTTTTTCGCATAAACATATTTCTTAGGCATTTATATTTTCTGCAAACTCTGTCTCATTTGCTCGATTTCGCCTGAAGAACTGCAAAAATTTGCATTCTTTTGCAATTTTTCAGTCTTCTTTCGAGTGAGAATTATTTTCAAAATAGACGTCGCATTAAAATATATTAAATTTTTCGAAGAAAAATGATGCTTTGTTTTTTAGTTCTCCTCACAGAATCATAAAACGCGATGTGAATAGTTTTCTTCTTCTTTCATTTTCGACAAAAGTATTCTTTTAAATTGATATTCTTGGTCATTTCATATCAATCTTATTTCTTGTTGGGTATACTCCAGGGAGTAATCAGTTGAAAAAAAAACCCTTAAGTTGCTTCTTGTTGATGAAACAAAAGCAATTTGCTTATCAGAAATACTTTGCTGAGGACTAAGCTTGATAAACCAATAAACCGTTTTTAGAAACTTGCAAAACTTTGTTCTGTGATTCATCTATGAGGATATATATTACTTCTTTTACCTTTTGTTTAACGAAATTAAAAATACAGCAACTCAAAATATATGATCTAAATTAATGTATAGCTGTTTTCAATTTAAAGGATAATAATTGTTCAATTAACTGGAATTTTTGCTCTAAGAGATCCTTACAAAAAGTTAGATTTTATAGTTACAGAACCTTCCCATTTATGCTATGGAAAATGTTTTAGTAAAATTCGCTACCTTATTTTGAAAACTTTGCATTTGGTAACATTTGTCAACGAACAGTAGCCTTAAATAGTGATCATTGACAGATATAAACTTGTAAAAACAATTTTCAAGCAACCTTTCAACGTACTGCAATAGATATTACTGCTTTTTTTTTATATAATTCATTATATTCCGTTGTAAAATAGCTTTAGAGAACACATTTTCATACTAGAATAATATCTTTTCTGCCGGAAGTATACATCGGAAGACATAATAGAACTTCCACTTATCCGGAGTACTTGTTCTATTTAGGTCAAATAAAAGAAGCTTACGTTGAATTTATTATATGTTTTAATTTTTTTCGTTAATTTAAATAACATGGGAAAATAGTGAAGACCAGTAAACATATATTTTTCCAGAAGCTATTAAATTAAATAAGATGAATGTTTATATCATTACATTGGCTCATTACTTCCAGAAAATTAGTAAATATCAACTGAAAAGCAATTACATGATATATATATATAGAGAGAGAAAGAGATCGACTATTTTCTAACTTGTTTAACTTATTACTCTGTAAGTAATTTTATTGCATTATTATTTTACGTAAATAAATAACTAAAAACATAGAGTGAGTAATGAATCGTTATTTTATATAAATAAATATTAAAAAATATGAAGTTCTGCGTTTTCATTT